GTAAATCTCCCTGACCTTGGATTTGGCAATGGATTCATATATATAACCACAAAAGCACGAGCAATAAAATAAAAAGATAAACTGGATTTCACAGAAATTAAAAACTTTTGTATTATACATCAAAGGACATGATAAAGAAAGTGAAAAGCAAACCTACAGAATGGGTAAAAATATCTGTAAATGACCTATCTGATAAGGGTTACTATCCAGGATATAATAAAGAATTCTTACCACTCCACAACAAAAAGACAAACAACCAGCTTCAGGGTGGGGACTGGTCACTGAAAAGACCAAGCATGTTTAGAGGATTGAGACTTCAGCCCCACCTTCCAGCCTCCAGGGAGGGGATAAGGGCTGAAGAATGAGCTGATCACTAATGGCTGATAATTTAATCAATCATGCTTACTTAATGAAGCTTCCATAAAAACCCTAAAAGACTGGATTCGGGGAACTTCCAGATAACCAAGCACATGGAGGTTCCTAGAAGGTGATGTGCCCAGAGAGAGCATAGAAACTACACATTCCTTCCCCTACACCTTGCCCTATTCATCTCCTTATCTGGTGTCCATTAGTAGCCTTTATAATATCCTTTATAATAAACTGGTAAACCTAAGTAAATGTTTCCCCAAATTCTATGAGCTACTCTAGCAAATTAATTAAACCTGACGAAGGTGTTGGGGGAACTCCAATTCATAGCCGGTCAGTCAGAAGCACAGGTAACACAACCTGGGGCTTGCAACTGGCATCTGCAGTGGAGGGAACGGCACAGAATTGAGGACTGAGCCCTAGACCTGTGGGATCTGATTCTAGGTAGGGTCAGAATTAAACTGAATTAGAAGACACTCAGCTGGTGTCTGCTGCAGAACTGATTGCTTGCTTGCTGGCGGGGAGAAATCCCCACACACCTGGTGTCAGAAGTGTGTTGGAGAGTATAGCGCAAGAAACTGAGTTTGTTTTTTCTACAGTAAACAAAAAGGGCTGGGAAAAAGAACAGAAAAATGGATAAACAGCTGAAAAGATGTGAAATAAAGAAAAGATTTACCTGTTTTTTATGTTTGTTTATACACAGGTGATTCCAAAGAATTTATATATTTATGGGAACAATCTAGCAGAGAGGGAGAGATTCATATGCAGGAGAGAGAGAAGCGATAAATGAAGGAACCCAGCCCTTGATTCCACAGCATGGATGGACAGTAGTCTTTGACAGGCACCGGATACTTGGTTTTTTGAGCCACGAAAGATGGTGGAGATTGGTAGATGGGCTGGGAGACTGTGAGTGAGTTTCCCCCTCTGATGGCTTCAGATGAGAGCTGGAGGAAGGAGTATAGAAAAAGAGGGTATGAAACAGTCATCTTGGAGAGTGAAAAGGGGAACTGACAAGGGAATGCTGTGAGATTGGTGGGCAGTACTGAGTGCACACCTGAGCCTGTGGTCTGTGAGGAAGGCAAATAGTAGGTTTCAACCTGCCTTGGGGCTTGGCCAGTCAGGTTGGAAGAGCAAGTAAGAAGCAAGGCAATTGAAGTTGTTTATAAAAGAGTGAGCATAAAAATCTAAACTGGGTTTAAGGAGGGAAGTGAAGTTAGCAGTTTCCCCTGTCCAATGAAAAAGGTATAGGATCAAATGGGATCAAAAGAATTTTAAAGTAGGGGCCTCAGAGTACGGGTCATAGGAATGTGAATTTCAGACGTGAGCGTGCAAGAGAGAGACCAAGGTCAGTGAAGAAAATAGTTGCTGGAGGTATGAAGGCCAGGAAACTCGCAGGCCAGGATGTTGGATAGATCACCTACATGGATGTCTTAGCCACAAATAATAATGATAGGAACAAGGGTGGCAAGAAAAACAATGAGTCAGAATTTCAAGTTGTTCCTAAATTACCCAAGTGACCAGGTGGCCAAAAGATAACAGCTATGAAGATGGCAGCAGTGATCTGGCCTGAAGACATGAGCTTCAAAGAGACCAGGGTATTTAAAGGAAGAAAGATAAATGTTTAGAATGTGAAAGAAGAAAGATTGAATCTAAGATGACTTGCAGCCTTCAGTTTGAGTGACTAATGGAGTCACTTAGGTCAGGAGGAACATGTGTTCTGGGGATAATAAGACGTTATGAGCTCAGTCTGAGACATATTTAACTTCTCTGAGCCTCTGTTTCTTAACCTAAAAATACAGCAAAAATCTACCTGACTCTAACAATGCAAAGATTAAAGAAAAAAGATCTAGGAAAGTGTCTAGCACAGTATGGCTTAACTCCTAAGGATACACTCTCTGAAACACCACTACATGAGTTTCAGATCTTCCTACTAACCAAAGCCAACGAGATGATTTCTTGGGGCAGAGGTAAAGTTCAGTATCTCCAAACAGAGGAGGAAAACAGTGAGAAATGAGCACACAGGCCCCATACCTCAGTGTCTCTGGGATGGAATTCATCTGGAGTGTGGGACCCTGGCTCCGTTTCCTCCGAGCCATGCTGATTAGATTCGCATTTGCCTTTTTTGCAGTTGCCACCACAGGATTTTTTTTTCTCTCCTTTACAGAGGGCCTGCAGCTGGTAGATGAACTTGGTCTTCCATGCTCTGAAATCAGCTTCAATGCTGCCATGTTTGCTCCTGACCACATCACAGTCGCCCTCCCCTCGAGTCATTACACGATGTGCACCGAGCATCCAGAGCCACTTATCAACATTTTTGCCAACCTGCAAGAAAAAGACAGATGAGCTAAAAACACAATCCTTTAAACTGGAGGTTTTTGGACTGCTCTGCAAAAGCCCAAAGTTCTTCTGTGGCCTCTGGTCACAGGCTGCTGTTGAAGAAGAGGGAACTGCTCAGCAAAAGGGACTTCAAGAGCCCTCAAGCTCCAGCTTCAACACAGAAGGGCCACATTTTATATATTCTGATTTTTGACATAAGTTTTTTTAATAAAGGGACAAAGAAACCCTTTTATTAAACAAAGGTTTAATAACTAAGAAAGAATTTGAAAACTACTACTCTAAATCAGGGTCAGAACACATATGCATTAACAAAACAAATTAGTTCCAAAAATCTAACAAAGCCTACAGGGCCAAAGCCCACATAGTAATAAAGCGCAAATGTAATCAATTTGGCAAGGCTCATGATTACACAAACTGAAAAATTTATTTCATTCAGCAATTAAGCTGAGGCACAGGGCTTATCAAGAAACACAGTTAAGAGTTTAAAAACTTAACAGACTTCCTGAGTGTCAAGGCATTAAACAAAATATTTACATATTTCAATTTTCCCATTCTTAGTTGAATTCCTTTGTAAATATGGGGGAAAATGTGCATTGTGACATAACAAGTGAATAAAAATAAATTTAAAGAGGCCGGGCATGGTGGCTAATGCCTGTAATCCTAGCACTCTGGGAGGCTGAGGCCAGAGGATCACTTGAGCTCAGGAGTTCAAGACCAGCCTGAGCAAGAGCGAGACCCTGTCTCTACTAAAAAATAAGAAAATTGGCCAGGTGTGGTGACGCTAGCCCAGCTACTCGGGAGGCTGAGGGAGGCAGATCACTTTAGCCCAGGAGCTCAAGGTTGCAGTGAGTTATGATGATACCACTGCACCCTAGCCAGGGGCTAAAGAGCGAGACTCTGTCTCAAAAAAAATAAAAATAAAAAAAAGAAGTTTAAAGAAAGCTCCTGACATCCATCTCTCACCCTCTACCACAGACAGGAAAGCCAGGCAGGGCCCATCTCTGGGGAAAGGTACACATGCAAACCACTGAGAAACTGGGAGGCTCTGCAGTTTTATTTTTTAAAGTGTAGAGAACAGGATGCAAGAGAAAAGGGGCCAAATTAATTTCATTTAGAAAAAAGGCCCAGGAAAACAAGTCAAAAAATGTAATGTTTTATTACATGAAGGGCTGTGTTTTTCCCTCTATTGTCCTTTAAAAATTAATGATTTAAAGAAAATGAGTTCATCTGTATTAAGAGCTTGAGGGATAAACATTCAACAACAGAACAGGCAGTTATAAAAGTCCAAAGACTCAGTGATCTTCCATCTGCAAGGTCCTGCTTAGTGACTGTGAGTCCAGGCTGCTAAGACACTGCCAGTATGAGGCACATTCGTTCATTTTATTCAACAAAAATTTACTGAGAACATAGTATATGCCAAGTTTGAATATAGCAATTGCCAGCTATAAAGAATAACACTTTTCTTATGTGTGCGTTTAAATAAAGAAGAATGTATCCCTATAATTCAATATATACCCACCTTGTTGAAGTAGCTTACATACGCAGAATTTCCCAGGCCAAACAC